GTGCGCATCCCCGACACCTATCTATCGACCCGCACTCCCTCACCATGGCCGACGCCACCGACAAGATCTCTATCACCATCTGCGGCGATGGTGGATGCGGTATGCTGTGCAACCCCATCTCTTGAACCCACCCCCAATGGTTCTTTTCGTCACCCCGGCGCAGGGACTGCGGGGCTACAAGGGGGAAGAACCTTATCGCTGATGGCCGCTAGGAAAATCATCCATCACCTTGCGCCTGGTGCGGAGTCAGTGGATTCACGAGTAAGTCTTACAGATAGAATCCGATCATCAAACGTCGACGAGAAGCGTCCGTCATGCTAATCCAGAGCAACGGGATAGATACGACCCTACAATCGGTATACCCTCCTTGCTGGTCTTGCCCTGAGCTATATCGAGTTTCACAATTACTGACATCGGGCGATCTGGCTGAACCGTGCAGAGGATTCATATTCGGTTACGCGCGTGGTCGATGGCGTGCCATACTTCCTATCCATCACCGACACGGCCGGCCAGGAAGAGTATCGCGGCTTATGGGCGGCTTCCAACCTGAGATCCGACGCCTTTCTTCTGGTGTACGACATCACCAACAAATCGAGCTTGGGCGCTTTGGACTACTTCATGGACATGATTGAGATCGAAACCGAACAACGCCTTGAGGACAATGATCGGTTGCGCAAGGAGTTGGGGGCCAGTGCAGAGGGCCTCGATGTCGGCATGCCACCCCCGGTCAAGATCGTCGCAGGGAACAAGTGCGATCTCAAAGACAACAGAGTCATTAGTTCCCGGGAAGGCCTGGAGTATGCCCGAAAACACGGTTGCGGTTTCATGGAGACCAGTGCCAGGGAGATGGTCAACATCGAGGAAACCTTTGCCCGTAAGCCTCTCACCACTATTGAGCCAAGTATATACGCTTGCCAGAAGTTGACACTCTCGCAGTCCTAGTCCGTCGGGTCGTCGAGGCCCGTCGACTACAGTACCAGAAGGGTCCTCCGACCAGTCAAACCGCTCAAAGGGGCGAGCCTTCGACGGCTGCAAAAACGCCTGCTGACACGGTTGTTAGCAAGGAAGGGAAGAGAGAATCGCCGAAGCGCACACAGAAACGACAGAGTGGTCTTCGTGGGCTCTTTGGAGGTAAACGTGCACGTCAGGATCCAGGCGAGAAGGGCCATCTTCAACCAGAGGCATCAGGATCGGGGCAGAACAAGCCATCCAAGCCAGCAAAGGCGAGCATATGGAAGCGCATGAGTTGTTGTTAGGCTGCAGGTCTGCCTATCGCGGTCGTCCATCCTTCTTTGTATTAACATTTCAACATTATACCCCCTTTTGTATACTACTTATTATTCAGCTGACTTCAAACTCGACCGTTAACCTGTTGATGCATTCACGAATGCCACGTTCCATCATCTACTTCCCTTGACGTGTAGTTTGCATAGACGGATAGATGGGCATGTTTCGAGAAAACACGAGACTGCTAGTAGAATCCGATGGCTGTCACGGGAGCAGAGCATGGATTAAATTAACAATGAGGTCACCGGCGAGCTTGCTCATCCGGTGCAGGACACTAACTTGCAATCCGGGCGACAAGGGATAGACAATGCATAGCTATATCTTATCAGCAACCTCTCACGGCACACATGGTCTCCCTGCCACATCCCGACGGAAGTGGAAAACCGAGTGCATCCATGTCAGCAGCGGTAGTGGTGGGGTCAAGATTGGTAGAGCACTGCGGGATGACGCTATCATGGCTGGCGGGCTTGACACTACCGCATGGTCTAGACCCGAGAGAGTAGCATGTACCAGCGATCTGTAATCGATTTCCAATGTTTGGCTATGGACAGCATATTCTGCAATCGTCGAACCCCTGAAAGCGCAAGAACCAGCCTCGATCGTGCTTCAGGTGCAAGGTTCAATCCCGAGTAGTATAGCCACTTCGGGAATTAAGCGACACTCGGCATTTTCGACGGGGCACCTATTGGTACATTGTAGAAAACGGGCATGGATCAACATGGAAAACAATAGTCCAGCGGTCATTGATCGCAGGATCAGAAACCTTATCTGCCACTCTATAGCACCCGAGGCAGTGGTGCAACTATGAAGTCAATTCCGGAGCTGAGCCAGTGGTAAGTGCCGGTCAAATCAGCTCCGGACACGGGCACCGTACTCTGGCAACGCGAACTGGCTTCGATAGCAGTAACCTGTTGGGCTTAATTAAATCATGTCCTGTTGTCACAACAGGCTAAGCTGGAGGGGAATGACAGGGGCACGATCGAATCAAGACCCGCGACCGTGCAAGTGGCATGGTCCATTGGAGGGATGATCAACGTCATTGACTGTCATGTGCGGATAGCTCCAACGGCACCTCGTGGTGGAGAGGAGCTGCTGCTGCTGCTTCAAGGCAGGAAAATAAAATTGGTAAGAACAATGATTGACCGGGCTATTGAATCATCCCAAACTAAAGCTGATCACGAACAACAATCGGAACCGACGATTGGATCAACGCTGGATTCGGTCTTCCCTGCTCCATCCACCTGGCGGCAGACAGTGTGGCAAAGAAGGATTGGAATCAATCCGGTCTGCCGTTAAGCTTTCGAAGGAGAGCGCCAATCGCCAAGACTGGTGATCAACAGGTCTTGTACGACTATGGAGGGAACTAGGAGAATAGCAGCGATCGAAGATATCCGACGGGGAAAGGAATCCGTGTTTGATCGCCGAATCGGGATTTTAAGGATGCACTGTGAATGGAGTCGAAGGGGAGAGAGACTCGAGATGGGTTATTGACCCTGTCAGTGTCAGGTAATGTTCATAGGAGTCATTATGGAGCCACCACCCGATGGTCCATACACCTTACATACTGCTCCAGAACAGTGGATTTATTTTCGAAAGCTACCCGTTCGGCATGAGTTTGCCGAGTTGGGTCAGCTTCGGAAAAAAATAAAAAACATAAATAAATAAATAGAAAATATTTGGTTATGGAAATATATTCAAGGTGGATATTCTTGTGCCGTAATGCCGGGCTATGCAGACTTGGGCTGTCATTCCCTCAAGCTGGTTTGCATCAAATCGCAGAATTACCGCAATTCTGAACTAAAGCTATGGATGTACCTGAACATTGGAAAAGGTACAGCTTGCTTCAAGTGAGTCTCACACATCACACACGCTGGCGCAGGTTAAACCACCTCGGCCGCGACGTAACTATAGCTACCTACATTTAGTCTCTACTATCTAAGTTCTCCCTCGTGATTAATTGTCCACGTATTCCCACCCCCTCTTTTACTTCCTCCAAAGATCTTTTCCACAGTAGCCCCAAAGTAGGGCCTCACTAGCAAAATGCAGACAGACACCTACGGTACATGAAGGGAAACCCCCGTAGAGTGTAGACATGGGAGGTACCTGTCCAGAGTCCCGATCGGATATACGGCCTGAGGTGGGCCATTGAGGTTTTTGAATCGTTTTGGGGGCCCCTCCCAACATGAGGGAAATAAAAAGGAAATATATCTCAATGAGGAAATTTCCCCAAAGCATGTAAAGCACAAAAAGGAAGTTGGCACCTCCGAGGTCCGAGTCAAGCCTCCGATGCCGATTCAGGTAATCAGCACGTCCGCCTGGGCTGGTTACTTCCGTTATCCGTTCAACCTGTTCCGCCGTATCATGTAAAATACCTTACATACAAACGGCCGCAGGGTTCATCCACGTATTGGTTATGACGTATGGTTACACAGTATGGAAAGCGCTACCTCAGTTCACTCAGAGGTACCAACTTATAATAGTATGGGCAAGGAATTGACACGCTGTGGCTGCAGAGGCAGGTGAAGCTTTGGAGCACCACGTTGGATCAAATCTTAAAATCCATATGTGCCTTGAATTTAACCCGGTTCATGTAGAAAGATTTTTCCGCTGTCTCCCCAAAGAAGTGGACAAGTGTGACGATAGCCAGGCAGCAAGCAAGCAGTTGGTTTAGTTCATGTAGTAGTACCAGGAAAAGTTATGAATGATACAGTGCAAGCTTGGAGGGAGCGGTTAATACAAGATCAATACCGTACAGAGAAAAAGCGCCCCACTGCATAAACCTCCAGACCTCTAGCGGCCGGCCAATGATCGGCCAGCGCCGTCAGACCCGATCCATTCTGGTTCCTTTGGACTGCGTCAATATTCCCAAGGGTAAGACGGCGACCATTCCTACGTGAAGGACCGCCAACCTTACTATTATTTTTAATCAAAAAATAAAAAAAGTGAAAAGGAAAAAAAAAAGAAATCCATGGGGACTAGACTAATTCGAATAAATAATCATCCAGGCCCATCTGTAGTAGCAATTATTATTATTATCATCATCATCAATCATCATCAGTCTGACTTTACGTCGTCCTCGTCTTACTCCTCCTCCCTTATATCTAGTTAAAAGAGCTTCGACCCTCCCGGTTTGGTCAAGCCTGGCCTCTTTTCCCTTCCAGATATACTTCCTCTTTACGACACCATTCACTACTACTACACACCTTGCCTTTAGCCCAACCACCGGTGGATCGTTGTAACGCTATCCTGTCCTTGGAACCGTTCAACTTGATCATTAATCATTACATGCGGTTGTCTCGATCGAGCTCTCGCATTGGCTCGACCCTCTGAACCTTCTCTTGCTCATTACACCTTCTTTGACTTTTATCCATCCGGCCTCGTTATATCATCGACCAATCTTACGTATTGTCGATCACTGATCATTGCAACACCGCACCACAGAAAAAGGTATAGGCGAGGACAAGGCATAAGAAAAGCAATAAGAAAAAGAAAGGGAAACGAAAATTCGAAAGAACAGAGAAAAAGCAAACCCGACTAGTTACCCTACAAAACTAATCACCGCAACTGGAACTCGCGCTTTCGATACTCTTTTTAAATTTCACCCTTTCCTTGACTTGACTGGGGAGATACTCTTTTGATTTCTCTGGCCACATCTGCCTTTCAATACCCGCAACCAAACCTCCCTCACCTCCATAAGTATATATATGCGCACAATGACGGCACGCCAATCATCACCTACATCCGACCACTCACATTCGGACGGTAATGTCCGAAAGAGGGTCTGTAAGGCATGCGATCGGTGTAGACTGAAGAAATCCAAGGTAAGCCAAGTCATGCTCAAGCATCAGCTTGTCCTGATGCACTGACCCGGTGCAGTGTGACGGATCCAACCCATGTGGTCGGTGCAGGACAGATAATGCCATTTGTGTCTTTGGCGAGAGGAAGAAGGCTCACGACAAAGTGTACCCCAAGGGGTGAGCTTGCACCCAACCGACATGTTGTATCAATAGCTAACCTGGCTTACCGCCGCCTCTAGTTATGTCGAGATGCTTGAACAGCAACAAACGTGGCTCGTCAATGGTCTGCAAGAAATGTACCGTCGCGCCTTGGAGGGCGAAGGCTGGCCGGGAGAGCCCTTGAAATGCGAGCCCAACGGCCATCCTCTAACACACGATCTGCTTACGCGACTTGGCGCCTTGGACCAGACCAAGGGTGAGCGCTTCGAAGAGAACACTGAGGCTATGCAGCAAGATCTCTGGAGGCAAAATTCCGGACACATGCAACGCCAGGAGTCATCCGACGGTAGCTCAGAAAGTGCGCAGTCGCCTATCATGCCCTCCCGCTTCTCAGACCCATTTGCTCGTCAGCTCTCGAGTACGCAATCCAGCTTTAGCACACCGTCCCAAACGCAAGGCCCCACTATCAAATCAGAGCCTCAAATGGCACCGACAAATCCCGCCTTCGTTGCGCCCATGACCATGCAAGGCGTCGTGAATCCCCTCGCCCTCCAGACCCCGCAACAGTGGCCCAACAATAACTTTGGCGCTTTCGACGATATGGATCTAATAGGCGCATCCGATTATACGAATCTGTCCTTTGACGATCAGGTTCCCTCGCCGATGTTCAACCGTCAATTACCGATGAGCTGCATGCTTTCCTCTTCGTCGTATATGGACACCAAAGGCGACTATGAAGACATCAATCAGTTCTTGAATGCCAATGCGCCCGAGATCGCATCGACCTGAGACACACTTCGATACGACGTAATTTAGCATATTAATGTCTCTCTTTTGCCTGACATTTGTTTTGCATACGCCGTACGACGTAACGCGTGTATTATATACATGCTACATTCTGACATTGGACTACTTTTTTGAACACATGGCAGCACTCCCCTTCCTTCAGAAGGATAATCGATGAGCTGTACAGTGTTGGATTCTTTTGGGTGACTGGCATCACATTTTTTTTTTCTTGTGGGGACAGCATCCTCTACATATTATTTTGGTTTATACTTTTTTGATGATGAAGGCGCCGAGGTGTTTTGGAGTTGGAGTTTACACAAAACATTGGGAGGTTTGAACAGGCAGGGCGGTTGGTTTTCTCTTTACTTGGATGCGGATGCTTTTGCGTGGATACTTGCCGATGCTGGTTTCTAGTTTCGGATGTTCTATATGTCATTCTTATGTCCCCGACATGGAAAATATACTATTTATTCTGCATTCTTCCTATTTACTTATGGTCTACTTCAACCTTTGTCCGAGAAGGGGCCGAACTTTGGCCTAGGGCGCAGGGCGTATCGGCCAACGGAGACCGACTGCCGAGGCCAGGAACCTTTTTTCTCTGCTCGTTAAGCCCAGATGACGTTCCAGCCGCTCACGAGTGACTAATGCGGTGATGGAGGACGTCATGGATAATCAAATCCTAAAGGCCGGTGACAGCTCTACCTTATCTCCGGCCACATCTGGACTGGCTGGACCACTCACGCGCCCCCCGATGGGGATACGAGGTAGATCGTGACACGTCGAGTGAACCCTACTGCCCTCCTGCAACAATATTCCCTGTGGTGGTCGAGAGGGGGAACCTGATCACTGAACAAGAAATTCATGAACAACAAGTCTTCCTGGCCGATGGATTCCCATTTAAAAAACGAAGAGGGTCCAAAAGTCTCCACCCTCGATACGACGGAGCCCAATTTGATGTTTGGGTCTGGCACGACGGAGCCCAGCCCAGCCCACACACCCGCTAGTGGGGAGCGATGAGTGAGTGGGAAGGGGGAGAGGTTTTTTTCCATTGCTGCATTTTCCTGTTGTTTCTTCTCTTATTTCCGTCTCTTCTTTCCTTCCATGGAGCCTTTGCCTCATCTGGTTCTGTGGAGAGACAGTTGAGTGGATATTGCTGGTCAGCCACGGGCGGACCAGCACACAGGCCGAAATGCCGACCTCCCGACCGTGTGTTAGTGGTGTGCCAGTGCCCAGGCAATAGCATCGCTTACCTGGTTCGACATCCGAGTTCCCATCGGAATACGCCCACTCTTTGCCAGGAAGGGACTGAACCTTGATTTCCCTCCGGATTACGGAGGATTCGACGTGATATTCTACTGGCAATGGAAGCTGTCCATCTCCTGTCGTTCCACGTGTAGAACTACAATTTTTTTTTAAAAATTTTTTTTAAATAAAATTTTTTTTCTTCTTCTTTTTCCCTATAATTTTCTTTCTTCACGGTCCCCATCTCCCTAATTCCGCTCCGTCTCCCTGATCCAGGTGATAGACACTGGTTCCCCAAAATGGAGAGATGGCCCCATTCATGGTCCCTCTTCCCGACAAGACTGGACTGTGAGAGTTAACTGCGGTATATCTACGGAGTAGAGCACGATGGGATCCAGTCAGCCCCTTTCAAGACACAAAAGCAATTGTCTTGTCTGGCAATAATCATCCAAATAATGGGAGGGCTAGTGACTTCCAAACGGGTAATGCACCCCCGGGGGCCCGTCAGTAGGTCACTGCATTATCACTACTGTGGACTAGTCAGTAGTGATCGCGGACCACCAACACACACTTTCCCCAGAACATCTGCATGCAGCGCTCACATCAGGGTGTGGTAATGTTGTTGTCAAGTGGACAATGGACGCTTTGATATGGGGTTAGACCGCTCAGCCACTACACAGTACAGCCTGATCGACGGATTTCTAATCCTGAACTCATGCTGAGATCAGGATTTTCAATAGCCACCATGGCATGCTTGTCATCACATGTCCTATTGGTACAAAACAGTCAGTTACTCCCGGAGAACATCTCTCTCGGAGTTACTCTAATGGCATTGGACCCGGCTGTCTATCAATGCATGGTATAGGGGTTCCCGGTACTTCTTAGTGTTGTGTAGTATCTATTTACATAAGGGGTTCGTTTTAGCAATGCCGAATGCCGATGCAACGGTTCTTGCGATTCCCGGGGGCCGCACGGTTTCTTATCTAGTGTTGTGCTTCTTACGAGGTCATATGCCATATGGCATATGCCAATTCAGCCAAGTTGCAAATGCAAATGCAAGAATGGGATGAGATTAATGCCCAGCAAAAGCATTTTTACATCTATTTCAATTGCCGTGGCTAAATAAGTAATAATCAACTACCGTATGTAGGGACGGGATTATCAAAAAGCAAAGAGCTACTATTACAAGATAGGGCTGCTTAGGTGGCAAGAGTGCCGCCACAGTATGGTCTTTCTCAGGGGTTGAACCCACAGAGGAGTGAAGAAAAAGATCATCTCATTTATAGATGAAACTTGGTTCACACTATCCCATTCTATTCCAATACATTTATTCTTGTGATTGAATAATGAATCATGTTCTCGCTTCCACACTTGGGTTAAAAGCGCTGAATCAGCGGACTACGGACTCGGCACGGAAGCCCCAAGCTCCGCGGAGACCGACCCGAGGTTTCAGTTAGTTACGGCTGGAATTGATTAGTTGAGAGTTGACCGTAAGTTCAATTGACTGATGGAACCTTCTTGTCAGCTTCGGAGCGGTCGTTCGCCTTAACTCCACGTTTCGGACCTGCGCGTATTGTCATCCGGCACTAGTAGTAGTTGGCAGTATGTTATGGTATGACATGACATACGGGTATTTACGGTCTGTCTCGCTGTTTTGTCTGTTTTTAATCCATCTCGTAACCTAATCCCACCTGCGGCCCTCCCACTGAGTGCTTTTACTATTAAGTAACCATCAACTTAGTTATACTACGTAACATTAAAGATTTAGGAGCTTGGTCCCTGCAGCTGTTCAACGGTCAAATTGGCGCATCTCGCAAGCCCTTCCGAATGAGTCATTGCTGTGTCAGATAACTAACCATCCAAAAATTGCCGGGACCCTTTCGGCGATGGGGAAGTGAGCGTGCACTGTAGTCTACGATGGACTGGGATGGTAGCTTCCCATTTCTTGTTCGATTTAAGTCCCCGAATATTGCTTGCGTGATGGAAGTGAGGAAGAGAGTGGGATGCCGACTACTAGTTAGTTTACTCTCGATCCATCCCACGCTGCTCCTCTCATAGCGTAAGCAGTATCCCGCCGGAAGGAATGGCAGGTAGTCAAGCCAAGGGACTAGTTTGATCACGATGTCTAAAACAAAACCTTAGTACAAGGTGTTAAACTACTAATATGATGAAGCTCCGACCAGCCACAGATTAATTTGAAGCATATCCAGTCCAAGCTATGGATAGCTATGATCGAACTACTCACTCTACTGACAGGGCGGCATATTTATGCCTGAGGCACAATTCATCCGGAAGATTACCCGATTCGGCAAATCCACCACATGCTACGAAGTGCGGTTTAGCCTAATATGCGAGAAGAGCAAGGCTCAAGATAGCATTCAGGCATGGGGATCCTGGGAAATTTAACCGACTTTAAATGAATCTCGCAGTAAGAAAGGTCTATCTACCTTATCTTTGCACCAATCCTGGTGATTGAAGCACGTAAGCTCTTCAGCGTGAGCCCCTGTCGTATTGGTCGCGACTTCTCTAGTTGGAGCAGAATTGCGGGGTAGCGGGCGGAAAGTGAGTGACCACCCCTCTTCATATATCGACGACTTTCTTACTTTTTCCCATAAAAAGTTTCGATTGCCCCTCACTAGACACGTCCGACTCACTAGAAAGATCAGACATTTAGTAACAATTCAGCGCACTTAGTCAAAATGAGCGACAAAACCTCCGCCAAGTTCCTGTCCCTCGGCGCCATCATCCAGGAATTCAACGTGGACGGACAAAACATCGTGCAGGGGTTTACCACGAAAGAAGCCTACGAGAAGCACAACTCGCCCTGGTTCGGCGCGAATATCGGACGTGTTGCCAACCGCATCAAAGACGGTGTTATTCAGAACCTCAATGGGCAGTCGTATCAGCTCGAACTGAATGACCCTCCCAATGCGCTGCACGGAGGGAGTCGCGGATGGGGTCGCTGCGAATTCGATGGTCCAACGGTGTTAAACCGCGATGGGAAGACTACCCTGCTGTATACTTATCTGAGCCGTGACGGGGAGGCAGGATACCCGGGCACGGTGGAGTTCAGGGTCTATTATACCACGAGTGAGGAGGTGGAGAATGGCAAGACTACGTCGGTGCTGAAGATTGAATATGAGGCTGAGTTGGTGGGCGATGAGTGCAATGAGACGGTTGTTAACTTGACCAACCACAGGTATGTCTGCCCTTTTGTTCTTTTTCACTGCATCAATTGGGCGATAAAATATTGACCGTCCTAACAGCTACTTCAACCTTAACGGCGGCCCAACCACCGAAGGCACCCTCAGTAAACTATCAACACAGGACTACCTACCACTAGAGAACGGCATCCCATTGGGCCCCATCGAGCCCTACCCCAGCGAAGTCACCAAGGAATTCACCTTCGGCCCGCAGAACCAATTCGACGACGTCTTCGTGATGGACCGCGACCTGTCCCGCGTTCCCCTCGATACGCGTAGTGAGCCCCTCCGCCTACTGGCCGAGTTCCAGCACCCAGACACGCGCCTGCACCTGCAAGTGCACAGCACGGAGCCGGCATTCCAATTCTACACAGGCCAAGGCATCGATGTACCCGAAACAGACGGGAAGCCGAGTCGGGGCCCATTTGCGGGGTTCTGCATCGAGCCCAGTCGGTTTGTCAATGCGGTCAATGAGCCCGGATGGCGGCACACGGTCGTTCTCCCAAAGGGGCAGAAGTATGGTAGTACCATCGTGTATAAGGCCTGGAGGGAGTGAACCAAAACAGAACCAGAACCACAACGAGAACCCGAGGTAAATTGCCGGGAAAGAGTCATGCCACAGTGAATCAATAAACGGCCGATCGGTGGAGAGATTAGTCAGTGCCTAGGCTCGGCATGGGTGTGGACGTCCATTCTCTATCTAGAACTACGGAACTCTCCATCTTTAATTCCGCTGATCTAATATGTATTAGCCAGAAAAATCTCGACAATAATTATTTTCTCTTTTTGATCTGAAAAGAATGTCTTGGCAATCATCCGATTATCCATAGCATCAGGTGATCACAGCGTGCCGATTTATCCTTATCACCCGTGATATGTATCCGAAGCAGGTCTAGCAAGCAAGAGCAAAGCCCAGATTAAAACGAAACGAGCTTATGGAGGAGATCCACCTGAAGCAGAAGGCAAACAGTGTTGGATTGTGGTGTTTCTATGGAATGAAAAAGCCTCAGGTAGGTGGATATTCGCATGTGGAGATCCACACCCATTACCAGATCGGGCATTATCAGACTGAACTAGCAATAATCAATACATTTTCCGCGCAACTGTACAGATGGGACCAACGGACCTAACCCAAAACTTCTCCTAGTTAAGGTGCGGGTATTCAGGCACCGGGATTGGACCGTTATATCCGCAATATCCGCAGTGGTTCTTGCCTCTCCGTGTGAGTGTGTGTAGACTAGTTAGTATGTAGTTAGTTAGTCTGAGCAAGAAAAGTCTCCGTGCTGCTACATTTGACTCACTAGTGAAGAAAAGAAGAAAAAAAAAGTCTCCGTCCCGGACTGGAACTTTCCATGGGCTGGCTGAGGGGGTTACTAATGATGATAATGCATTAATCAGCATTGGCGGCAGCTTAAGTTTGAGCCAAGCAAGCTATCTCATTCAGGGAAGAATTGAACTTGTATACTACTGAAATGTGGCTGGTAAGAGGTATAGTGTTGATTGATTGAGTTGGGATCATCTTGGAAAATCACTCATCGTGGGTGTATGTATGAATGGGATATGGTGGTTCCGGATTATTTGCCAAGAGTTTCTGGAATCCCGCTATTGGGTTCTAGCGTTTGATATACACAGTAATCAATCAGTCTTCTATATTGGGGAATGTCGGTAGTATTAGGATACCGGAAACAATTTTGGAGATTGTTAGGGGGGAAGGGGGGTCCATTTAGCTGGATTAGTTATGTTATACAGTGTGTGCGTGTATAATATAAGATTCATCTTATATCTATATGCATATATCTTAGGGTATAGTAAAGTAGTGTACACGAGGACCTGAGCAGACTGCATAACTTGTGCATAATTACATCATGTATCCGTTTCCAGCCCCAAACCCGGTAAATACCGTATATATACATATGTACTATATACGGTATCAAAACAAAACGGAAATGTTTCGCATACTGTAATAATACCAGGGCTCTCTCTCGCTCGCTCGCTCTCGGGCACCGACAGTAGATTTCCGGTGAAGCTTGGCATGGTGATCATAGTTGTTTATGGGCTAGAGTTGGGGATGGAGGGGGTAATATTATGCATACTATAGGGAGGATTATGTTTATGCTGGATTTAGTGTTGGTTTGTGGACGGATACTGTGATTATTTGGTAAATTGTTCACCATCCCCCTACTGACTACTACAACTACAGTGGGAGAAAAGTATTCATTCTATGAGTAGGATGGATCTCATATAAGTACTGTACTCAAGTATTGAAGAATTTCTCCAATTTTTTATACAACCCTTCCCCCCCTGCATGCCCCATCTCGTTCTTTGTTGTAGTAAGTATGCTTAAACCCCGAATTGGAGTCAAAATCCATCCCACACACCCAAACCTCCCTCCCCCCCGGCGTGCACAGGGACAACACAACACAGCAACACAGCAACCAAGCTAAGCACAGCACACCAACACTAAAATATAAATACTACCATCACACGATCAGGTGCATGAGATTGCAGAGGCGATGATCATCTCCTTGTATCCCCCCCCTCTTATATCCATGCATGTACAGATACATAGTTAGCAACCAGGTGGCTGGTCTGTGTGACGGGTTTGTACTACTTTTGCTTGAAACTACCTGGGGTTTTTGAGCTGCTGGCATCCTTGTCCGGTTAATACATAAGTTGTGTTGGAGCTACTACTGATTACCCCGCGCATCCCCCTCACTTTTCTGGAGTAACTAGTAAATGCCATATGATGGTCTTTGCAAGTGGGATGGAGTATCTAGTAGGTAAGGGTGCGTGGGATAAGAGGTCTTGGGTAGATGTCACATGCAGCAGGTGCATAAGGTGATCGGGTGCCGAGTTGTGTGCATATTTCTTTTGACATTATCTGGGAGGTAGCTAATATAGTTAGTGCTACTTGTTTGCTTATGTTGGGTTGTAGCTCATAACTACTACGTACTACTATCCAAGTCAGCTTCATATATGGATGATCCCTGTGTTGTTATTACCCTAATATTTTATTACTAACTTACTTACTGTCAGTAATACATCCATAACAGCTATACCTTACCACCGTTGCCAATACCCCAGCCCCTCTTCCCCTCCCCTGTTGGACTCCATATGTTAAGAATTGTGCTGCCTGTAAGTCACCCAAGATTAAACAAGGCAGTGCACATCCATCGTGTCGCAAACTAATCTTACTAGATCATTTCAGACAAAGCCCACAGGGGTTTCAGAAACTGAGGTCAGCTCATGACGCCAGCATTAACGTATCCATATTTTAGTAACTTGCCAACACCATCGTTGAGGCTGAGTAGATGTTTACTTTGTATGTCAGCTCCCCCGGTTGTCGTGTCAAAGCTTGAAATCCTTCCGTCCAGTAAACAACGACAGCTTTCCGAGACTTTATGTGCTCGGATTAATGGAATCCAAGGTCTAGCCATGGAGCTGTGCTTAGTAGACAAGCTACGTATCACTGGTAGTCGGGTCCATGGGTTTGGATGTGTCGTTGGCTTCGTGTTCGTATTCATACTTTGCTTGCTGCATTCGGGGGAAATGCGAAGTGATGGAGTATACTTCCACCCATTATTAATGTCGATGGAGTATATTATACGAGATGATAGTTTATCCTTGATTCATGTAAGATAGATATTTATAACTTACAGTAAACTATCATTCATGGTCAATTTATAACTATACACAATACCATAAACATAAAACATGAATCCCTATCCTGTGTATACAAATCACATGACCACCAAACAAACCAACCGCAACCCGGAGGGTCCCGATGCCATGCGCCGAAAACTCCGAGGTGCCCCGCGCGGGGTTTGGTTCCTCCTCCAGCTACATCTCCATCATTTTCCCCATCAACTCCAACCAACATATACATCAACAACATCATTACAAACCACAATGGCATCCCAATACGGTGACCTCCGTCACCTCCTCCCAGGCAATTACAAGCGTCTCATCGCCGACTGGCTCGAAGAAGACTGTCCCAGCTTCGACTATGGCGGCTTCGTAGTGGGGGAATCCGAAGGCGAAGCACGATTACTAGGAAAGAGCGAGGTAACCACCACCACCACCACCACCCATGACTTATCCAAACAATTCATACTAACATAATATTCAACACATCTAGGGTATTCTCGCTGGTGTCCCCTTCTTCGACGAAGTCTTCTCCCAACTAGGATGCTCGTACGCTTCCCCCCAACCCCAATCACCAAGACCCCATACTAAAGAAACCACAACAGAGTAACATGGCACATCACCGAAACAACCCCTATCAAACCAATCACCCACTGCGCGACCGTCACCGGCCCAATCCGCAAGATCCTACTGGGCGAGCGCGTCGCCCTCAACATCCTCGCGCGCTGCTCCGGCATCGCAACCAAGACCTCCACCCTAGTCTCCATCCTCCGCAGCCACAACTGGCCGGGAACATTAGCCGGCACGCGCAAGACGACCCCTGGGTTCCGAGTCGTCGAGAAATATGGTATTCTCGTTGGCGGGGCGGACCCTCACCGACATGATCTCAGCGCCATGACTATGCTCAAGGATAATCATGTGTGGGCGTGTGCGAATAACTCGGCGGCTAAGGATGGTGGCGATAAGGAGGCGGTGGAGGAGGGGTCGATTGTGAGGGCGATTCCGAGGGCGGTGCAGGCGGCGAAGGCGGCCGGGGGGTTCGCGACGAAGGTTGAGGTCGAGTGTCGGAGTTTGGAGGAGGCGGATGCGGCCATTGAGGCGGGTGCGGATGTGATTATGTTGGATAATTTCACGCCGGAGGGGGTGAGGGATGCGGCGCGGAAGTTGAAGACTACTTGGGCTGGGAAGGGGAAGGCGTTTTTGGTTGAGGTTAGTGGTGGGTTGAATGAGCAGAATACTGCTCGTTATGCTTGTCCGGATGTGGATATCTTGTCGACGAGTTCGATTCATCAGGGAACTGGCATTGTCGATTTCTCTCTGAAGGTGTCGTTGCGATAGTGGGTAGATCATGATGATGTGATGTGTATATTCTACTTGCTAGATAGTTGTATTACTCCGGATGAAGACGCAGCCTACGGATAGCTGTGCCAGAAATCAACAGAATCATCCTGCATGTCTATGTACATGTGTCTCGGTGCCATTGCTATCTGGCTTAAAACCAACGCGTTTAATACACAATGCCCAGATGGCAAATGTCCAAGAAAGAAGACGAACCGAAGAATGAACCGAAGGGTATATGATACATGCAATGATAAGAACATCAAAAGAGCCCTTATGAACACCAGGTGGACTAGAACATCTTCCAAAAGAATAGCACTCGCAAGCCTTGCACTGGAACGCCCAATACGCCCCACGACCATGGCCTACGACCCCCACCTCACCCCCTAAGGCTATGTCAGACCTCAATGTCAACGTAAATGCCCTCGCCTTCGCTCGAGCTCATCTCATCGTCCCGACGCCGATCATATCCGTCACTCGTGCCTGGGTCTGACCCCTCGAGCCGCCGTTGACCATGTGCGCGCACGTCCTCATCGGTCGACGTGCCCGCGGATAGCTCTTTACGTACACGCTGTCGCTCGAGCTGCGCGCGGAGTCGCTGGTTCTCCGCATCGCGCTCTTCCAGGCGTCGCCGTGCGCCGCTTCGGTCCAGAAGGCGAGCCTCCCGTTCGGCCTTCAATCGCTTCTCCAGCTCATGCAAGCGTTGAATCCACTTCTCATTACTCCCCGGGTCAGCGGACATATGTCGGGAGCGAGAACCTTGCACCAATGCTCCTGGTCCATCATTGGCGAGCGTCGCCGTCGAGGTTGTCGAGGCCGAATGCGAGGGTTGAGGGATGCCAGTGGTGGCGCTCCGTGACAGACCACGCGACGGGGCGGGTTTCTCGACTGCTGAGTGATGACGGATCAGAGAGCCTGGTTCTGCATCGGCTCCAGGGTCTAGGCTCAGCGCACGTGTCGGTGACTGTGGGGAGTTGGATCCAATGCCAACAGCGGCGGCGGAGACGGCCGCAGAGGCAGGTCCCCGGCGGCGTGAGTGCGATTGAAGCAGGTTCAGCTCGGCCTTCAAGAGCCGGTTCTCACCCCGGAGCTTCGCCATCTCAGGAGACATCCCGGACTGGTTCCGGCTGTGCTGTTGTGCGCGCATGTTCATCATGGACTCCTCGAGGCGGTCAAGCTTCTTAACGCGCAGATTGAAGGTATGCTCCAGCATCTGGTACTGTTTGGTTAAGTCCCTCTCAACACCCTTGATGCGCGCCTTGGAGCCCGAGATCGCGCTTTCGACGGTCTTCACAGCGAGCAGAAGATTGCGGCTAAACCCGGGCCAGAAGAGGATGTTGCCAATGACCTCCTGACTGGGGAGATTGCCGTTGATCAAGCTGTTTGAATGCGCCCAGTCCGGTCCGCACATGGCTGACAGGCGTTTCCAGATGTTTAGGAGCATCACGTTGCGCTCGCTCAGCTGGTCGCGGAACTGCTGCTCCAGAGTGGTGAAGCGCTTGCGATCCTGATTACGCGCATTCTCCAGCTCCGAGATGCGCGAGTTGTTCTGCGTGATGGTGCGCGAGGCCTGGTGGTGGGATTTGAGAGCTTGCTCGAACGACTGCTTGTCGGCACGGCGGGCATGGCGCTCGCGGTCCAGCAGCTCGGCCAGCTTGCGCGATTCCAACCCATGACTCTCCAGCAGCGCATCGCGGTTGCGCAGAAGCGACTCTTTGTCGTCCAGCTTGGCTCGCGTGCTTTCGAGCTCCAAGGCCGTCGACTCCAGCTCCTTTTGCAGCTTCATGATGTTGGAAATCAGACTAGAGCGACTGCCGGTTAGATCACCCAGCGTCTCTCGTAGGTTGTTTTCCAAGTCCAGCAACCGCTCTTTCCAGGTGGCGGCTTCAGCCTCCTGCGCCGACAGGTTCTTCCTAAGTTTGCGGTTCTCCTCCTTGGCGGAGGTCGCCTCACGGTTCAGCTCGTTGACAATGCGCTGCACCTCTTGCTTCTCTTTGCTGCCCACAACTTCACGCTGGTGCCGTTCCTCCGCCAACCGTTCCTCGAGTTCGCGTGTCTTGTCGCGCTCGCTTTGCAGGCTGAGCTGGTAGGACTTGAGCTCCGATTCAAGATCTCCGATCTTGATCTTGTCGCCATCCTGCTCCTCGCGGAGGAACGCAATCTCATTTTGACTCGACTCAATTTGCACGGTGAGCCGTTGTACTTTAGTGTTAGCCTCATAGAGATCCTTCTCCAGCAACTCCATCTCGCGGTTGCAGTCCTCCAGTTCCTGCTGGACGGCCTTGTACCGCTGGAGATTGTTCTGTGCATCTTCCTCAAGCCGAATAATGCCCTCGCTAGCTGAGCGCATCTCCGCCTGGAGTGCCCGAAGGTTTTCGTCCTGAACACGCACTTCTTCGCTCAATCGCTGGCACTCTTCTACCTTCTGTTCTAGAGCCTCATTCATGGCGTCTAGCTCTTCTTGAGCTTCTGCGCGGATGTTTTGGAATGCTTCATCGCGCTCTTCGGCTATCTGCATGGACTGGTCGCGCTCCTGTCGGAGATTTTGTACCATTTGTTGAAGGTTCGAGATCTCTTCTTCCGCCTCATCGACGTCGGCCTGATATGCCTTGTCGAGCGAGTCATAATCCTGGTTGACCTCATCCAGCTGCTCCCGAATAGATTGGTTTTCAAGCTTCAGAGCCGACACCTGGTCGCGCAGCTGGCCTACGCGCGTTTCTAGGTCTTCGCGTTCGGCATCGTCGCTCGGCGATTGACCCGTGCCATCGCTGGCGCGCGAAGAGGGCCGACCATGTGCCCGGGACGCCGAGCGATCGAAGATGCTGTCGCCGGCAACCGATCGAGTCCCATCCCGGCGTTGACCAAGTTTGAGCTCTTCAATCTCCTGGTATAACCGCTCCTTCTCCCGGTTCCGGGACGTGAGCATCGAGGTCTGAGCGCTCACCTCCTTTCTCAGCTCCGCATTCTCTTGCTTGAGCAGTTCCAACTCCATCACCAGCGTCGAGCTGGATGAGCTAACAGTATGGGGATCGCGGCTGAAGTCTCGTTCGGACGCAGCAGAGTACGAGGCCATTGAGCCAATTCTGTCGCGTTGCCCGACTCGCGCGGCGACGACAGGGAAGTTCATCTCGTTCTTCAAGCGCAGGGTCTCTTCGCGCAGCCGCTTATTTTCCTCTTCTGCCTGCTCGCGAGCCGCCGTCTCGGCCTCCAGCATGTCCTTCCACATATCCTGCGGTAACAAACAATCAGCGTCCAGAATGCACAAAGGGATAATCCAGTACTTACCCTCTCCTCCCGGGCGCCAACATCCGATCCCATGGGCCGCCCGTCACTGAGGGATTTCACCATCTCGGCCAGTCGTCTCTTCTCACTTTCGCGGGCAATGCTTTCCGAACGGAGTCGCTCGATTTCCAGTTCATATGTCTCTGCCCGCTCGCGCAGGAAGAGAATCTCCTCGTCCTGCGCGGGGTCACGGTCTTCCTCGTCCGACCCTTCGGGGTCATGGTTCAGCATCGACTCCTTGTCGGACTGTTGGTCTTTCAACTGTTTCTCGAGATCGCGCAACTTGCGCTTCAGGCTTTGATTGTCCTTCTGCAGCTTCAGCTTGTCTGACTTCAACTCAACATTCTCCGAGATCATCTCCTTGATGCCCTCCTCAGAGCGTCGATTCAGTGCTTCATTGAGGAAGTGGATGCGCATCTTGAGGTCAAAGTTCTCCTTGGAAAGACGGTCAATGGTGCTGCTTTGCTCTTTGAGCGTCATGGTGCGGCCACTCCGGGCAAAGGCCGGAGTGGCGCTCGTCCGCTTTTCAGGCGACAATCCACGGCTACCATAGTCCTCCCGGAACTGCTTCACGAATGCGCTGGGAACCTGCACGTCTTTGACACGTTCTGCGAGGACCGTATCCGTAGGAAATCCGGTGTCTTGGGGTTTCGCCCGTGGTGTCATCGGTCCAGAAGCGTCATCGGGATGGAATTCTTGTTGAGGGCGCTGCTCTGATTGTGGTTGTTGTTGCTGCTGTTGCTGCTGTTGCTGCTGTTGCTGCTGCTGCTGCTGCTGCTGCTGCTGATACCTTTGGTAAGACGACCCCGGACGTGACTGAGTTGGGCCTTCCTCTTCATCCAAGGTCTGTAGGCCTCCTTCCGTGGTCCCGCCAGGGTTCTTCCGATCAAAGAGATTCTCATCACTGTATCCCGAGATACCTGATGCCATGCTTCCCAAACTGACCGACCGGGCCAATGTGTTGCGCTGTCCGGCATGCGCTAAACCCGGGTTGCCCGGCGCTGCACCGCCTGATTGAAGTGCGTAGTCGGCGCCCAGCGTCGCATCACTGTTTGTGATTTCTGTACCTGCACTCGTGACCGAGGAATATGAAAGCCGATGGGCCGAATTACGACTAGTCAGATACTTCGGTCGGTTGCTTCGACGACTGCTCGTATGGGAGGCTGTATCGGCGTCATTCGCGCTGTTGTCATGAAACAGCCTCGACGTTCCAGGGGACACACTGCGTGATAGGCTGCGAATTTTGTGATGGCTGGATTGGAGTGAGATGTCTGCGTCCGGTACAGGAGAGCGATCCAATGCATCGTCGCGAGCGATCTGGCTGGTGTCGGGCGCATTTTCGGATGAGGTAGACTGGTTACGGGTACTTGTCCTCGCTGCAGCGGCCGCCGAAGGAGATGATGGGATCGCTTCCAGCATAGTGGTGTTGTCACCATGTTGTTCGGGGGAAGCGGCAGGCGTTGCGTCCAAATCCTCCGCTGTGTCCTGTCTGTGCTCATGGGTGGGCGTTGGAGGTGTGTGAGTGCCATTCGCGGCCGCTGCGATGTCATGTATAGAATCATCGGGCGGTACGAACGAAATCTGCGTGCTTTCCAGCACTTCAGGGACAGGCTCCTCCTCGTGTATTCCAACCAAGTAAGTATCATCCGCACCGATAATCCGGTTCGTGGTTGCGACTTCGATGGTCGACGGTTCCGGCAGAAAGCTGGACTCCATATCCATCAACTGCCGCCGCATTTCCTTTTCTTTGATGAAAGTTTGGTCGTCCACTCGCTCCTGGTAGTCATCGTCGGCGGACAACAAAAGGCTGCTATCGTCGTTGTCGGGCAAAGGGGGGAGGGACAGGTTCGAATCGCCAAGGGCGGGGTCTTCCACCGTCGATGGGTCAACT